GCTAATTCTGTTTAGTTATTTGTTACTCTGCTTTGCAGCTAATTCTGTTTAGTTATTTGTTACTCTGCTTTGCAGCTAATTCTGTTTGGTTATTACTAATAAGTCTGGTAGCATGTGTACATTCATCTTCATTGTTATTTTCATATTGGTGATTTGACTCTGCGATAGATGCAGGTGCCAGAGGTGCTACCGTAGCCACTGCTTCCAAAGATCGGACTCTGAGGCTGTGGAAGGTAAATGGAAAAGGAATTGTTTAGAGAACTGGATTTTAATTTACAAACTGATTGATATACTTGTTTACTGTAAAAGTTTGACGCAGAGGAATCCACCAATCATCCTACAAGGATAAGGGCTTTCAAGATTTTATCTGGGCATAGATCATCCGTACAAAGTGTTGCAGCAACGACTTCAGGAGATATGGTATTGGCAACATTTAGATCATATTATTCTTGTAGCAATTAGGTGATACTGGTTCTACTTTTAAGCTGACTGTACATTGCTTTACATTATATAGGTTTGCTCAGGCTCTTGGGATTCTACAATTAATTTATGGCGGACGAATGATTCTGATACAGATGGCAATCTGGTGTTGACTAAGAAAAGAAAAGTGAATAATCAAGCATTAGAATCTCAATTGGAGGTGCGGTATTTGTGCTTCCTTGCATTTTGGATTTCAATTTTCAAGTACATGAAATCTTTTTGGATCATGATGAAAATCATTATTAGGTGGCGAAGCTCCATCATTTGGAGGTGATCTTGAAAAATATATCAAGAAGTTGGACCAACTTGGAGTTCCTCATTAGAGAAATACTTATATAAAATTTTATAAATAGTCTTCTCATTTTCATGTGTCTTGTTAAATTGACGCTTTTTGAGGGAGGACAAATCATACTATGCAAGATGAAAAGAGTGAATTACAATTCTTATGTAAACAGAACTTAATTATATCTTCTAAAAGGAAATTTAAAGCCTTATTAATCATTATAGTTGCTTTTGTTTGTTGTTTTCTTTCAAATTGTTAAAAGATATAAATATCAGTATAAAACATGTGTGACGTTTGTGTGCAGTTGCTCTCTCTGATTAAATTTCCAGCCTTACTGTTTTTCAAATTATGTTGCTTGCTTTTTCTTACATATCAATGAAATCCTGTTTAATTTATCTTTGCTGGCTATTATTTTCTTTTAAATTATGATATTATGTTCCATACAGGAGGAAGCTGTGTCTACTCTTGTGGGCCATACTCAATGTGTATCAGCTGTAGTTTGGCCACAACAGGAGACAATCTATTCTGCATCATGGGATCATTCTGTTAGAAGATGGGATGTGGAAACGGGCAAAGATGTGTCAAACATAGTATGTTAGAACTACGTTATTTCTTTATGTTTGAGCAATTCTTCTGCATGCTCGTTTTCAGATTGTGGGCTGGGCATTTTGGTTATATGATTGAGAATTGCCTTATTCTGAGTTGAGGTGTTTGCCACACTTGTTATTATCTTAGGTTGTTCTGCATTTTCCTTAGCTGCAAACTGCATCTGTTATCAGCTTTCCTAATATAACTCTGATACTGTTATTTGTACATCACTGGAATATCTGGTCAATTTTCTCATGAGAAATCTAAATGGAAATCTTAGTTGATATGTGGTCTAAATTCAAACGGGCAGTTATATTTGGTCTCCAGAACCTTTTATTTGGCAATTTTTGGAGTCCTATCCCGCATTAGGCACATGCATGATGCAATGTTGTTGATCATGTGCACTTCTTGTGTTATTTTCTATCTGAAAAATAAGAGTAGAAGTGTTCTCTTCGGAGTTTGAATTATACCATCTTTTACCATGCACAGTTCTGTGGCAAAGTCCTCAATTGTGTTGATTTGGGGGGTGAAGGTTCTGCTCTTATTGCTGCCGGAGGTTCTGATCCAGTTCTTAGAATATGGGATCCCCGAAAGCCAGGTCTGTTGAGTGAAACTTTGTATATACCATTATATATAAAAATTTGCATCTAAAATGAAAAACATTATTGCTGTAGGAACGTCTGCACCTGTGTTTCAGTTCTCTTCTCACTCTTCTTGGATTTCGGCTTGCAAGTGGCATGGGACATCATGGTTTCATTTACTTTCAGCAGGCTATGATGGGAAAGTTATGTTGTGGGATCTGAGAACTGCGGTATTCTCCTCTTATGTTTTCTTTTTGTGCTATGTTTACATGCGAAAGCAAAGGCCTGTTTTTTGTGGCCATTCTCTAGATAACAGTTAACATACAATTTTGTGTTGCAGTGGCCTCTTGCTGTCATTGATTCTCACAAGGAGAAGGTATAATGCAATTCTCTGTATCTATCTTTTTGGTTCACACACAAACATCCTCATAAATAACTGGCTTGGTTGCATCTTAGGTTCTGTGCGCTGACTGGTGGAAAGCTGATAGCGTGGCTAGTGGTGGGGCAGACTCCAAACTTCACATTTCTTCTGGGATCTATATCCAGTGAGGTAAAACATTAGACCCCCTTAGTAATGTATCTTGTACTATTGACAGTGATTATCTACCTTACCAAATATGAATTGTATATGCCATTTTGATCAACAGTTTTATAGTAACGTACTTGCATTATGCATCTCGATTGCCTAAACAGGTTACATTACTCTAATGCTTGGTTGAAGTTAGTTTCAAGACTCGTCTTCTTTCACCTTTGAAGAAAATGAAAGAGGCTGTATTTTTTGCCTTGGCTATGGCATTCCCCGATATAATAATAGTGGAGATTAGGAAGAGCAGAACATTCATGAGAAGACTGATAGGTTAAGAGGACAATGTGGCCACCATCTTTTGGTTGGCACTTCCAGTTTTGTTATACAGTAAAGTGGCAACCATACATATATATATATATTTTTTCAGAATATTAATTGTATCTGTTAAATCATCATTATTTTTCATAGATTTGTTGTGATCTTTTTGGCTACTTTGAAAGTAAAGGTCACCTTTTTAATGCCATAACCCGTGAGCTCGTGATCTCGTCCCGCTCCCATGATGAAGTTCCTTTTTATTGTGTTGACCAAATTACCCTTGGATGTGCACATACTTTGTCAATTTTAATTATTAATTAATGACTGTCTTGTTTTGTTGTGGGATGTAATAGTTTAGAGGAATCATTAGATGAGGCCATGAGGGGTTGTCTCATAATACTAAGGGATCTATTCCAATTTAATGATTTAAATTGTGTTGTGCAATTTGGATAAAGCAGTACTTTTTTTTTCTTTTTTTTAACTAATACAGAAATTTCATGTATGAATTACATATCCTAAAAGATACTCCATTGAAGACAAGTAGAGAAAAGGTTTCAGTCCAAGGTAAAAATGTCCGTTGGGACAATTATGGTCATAGAATTGAAAAAGTAAAATAATAAAATAAAGAATGGAAACATGATTGACATTTGTTGCATTTGTCGAGGGCGTTTTGGTCCAAAAGATGGTTGGCATTTCCAATTCCAAGCCGCTTCCTTTCTCCAGCACCAACTAACCAACGTATGTTGGCAATTTGCATTCCGAGCCACATTGCATCTTTTCGCTTCTCTTTGTTTTCTCTTCCATGAAAACCAAATCTTTGCAGGCCTTCCCGCACTTAGTATGTGAAATTTAGGAGAGTTGAGCCGGAAAGATGGGAACTTGCTCACCCTGTTGGTGAAAGTATGTGTTTTCCCGTGATCTTTTAGTATGTGAAATCTAGGTAGGAGTCCAAAGTCCATAGGAGGAAATGGGTTTCGTTTTATCATCAGCTGGAGCGTTCCAGATTCTTCCACAGTGCGCTGTGGTTTCTTCAGGCACAAGTCATGGGTGTATCTCAAATTTGTGTATTAGGCCCCATCATTTGAATTTTAGAAGTCCTCCTATCAGGTAAATAAAAGTTATGCTGAGTCCTAAATATCATCTTTTGTCAGTGTGTTGGCTGAAATATATTTTAAATTTTGGTTAAAAATGTTGTTCTTGCATCAGGCATTTGCACAATGGCAATTGGCGCTGTAAACAAAGAATTATTGTTGTCTCAAGTAAGGTTAGTCTGTAGATTAAGAACTACCGTACTATATATGTGTTTCGACATCGCTGATAATAGTTTAGTTTGGTTCCATGTGTATTCTAGGACTGTGTTTAATATAAATGATAGAATAATATGCCAAGTTGTTGTGGAGTGATCTGTGACTAGTGACTTTTCCATGGCAGGGTGATGAAGGGGATGGTGATTCATCAAGGAATGAAGTGTTAGAGGAAGATGAATTGGTGGCTGCTAGAAAGGCTCTTTCTGAGACTCGAGCTAGACAAGAAGCCCTTGAAAAAGAAAAAGATCAATTGCTTGAAGAGTTGGCTCGTTCTGAAACTAAGCATCAGGAATATATGGCTACCATTTTACATGACAAGGATGTAGCCATCTCTGAACTGGAGTCAGTCAAATTACTTTTTCATCAGAAGCTGCAGGAGTCGAAACAAGATTTGGTTGAACTTGCAGTGCAAGTTGAAAAGTTAGCAGAGAATACTTTCCAGCAGGTTACATCTTACATTTTAGAAGATGCTCAACTGAGGGTTTCAGCTGCGGAGACTTCAGCTGCTGAGATGGCTTATCAAATTGAAGAAAAAATAAGAAATGCCTCTGAAGGTGTCATATTATCTGTTATTGAGCAGTCAAAAGATGCAATAGCAAAGGCCCTCGATATGGCAGAAAAAGCTGGAGAACATGCAACAAAAGCTGTGGCAGCTTCTACCAATGATATAAATTCTGTTGATATGATTGCTTCTGTTCAATCTGAAAACATGAAGTTGAAAAGTGCTGTCAGTGATTTAGAATCTCAGTTATTGCTATCAAAAAGTAAGTTTGATAGGTTGAAGTTGGAATTGCAGCAGGCTCATTCACAAGTAAATTCAGCTGAACTCCAAGCCAATGATGCAGATAAAGCATTGCTTGAATTTCAGGAGGCAAGCAGGAAAAATTCTCTTGAGCAGGGAGAGGAGACAAGTCCATTTCTGGAGAAAATGAACAAAGATGCTGCAGAAAGAGAGAAGGCTGTCTCTGAGGCTTTTAAGGCAGAGTTGGAAAGCATAAAGGCTGCCATTGAAGCTGCCAAAGAAACAACATGTTCCAAGGACAATGCCTACATGAGAACATTTCAAGCATTACAGAGATCGTTAAGGGCTTCAGAATCTGCTTTAAAGATATGGAGACAGAGAGCGGAGATGGCAGAGTCACTACTATTAAATGATGGACCTCAAAGTGAAGAGGATGAAGATGTCATTTATGCTGTTAATGGTGGACGGTTAGGCCTTTTGGCTGATGATGATTCACAGAAATGGAAACTTCTGAGTGATGGTCCTCGTAGGGAGGTACCTCAATGGATGGCAAGGAGGATCTGGGCCATCCGTCCCAACTTTCCACCCAGAGCAGCTGACATAACTGATGCCTTAAAATCAAAATTTAGATCCCTGGAATTGCCCAAATTGGATGAGGTGTGGTCAATTGCTCAACAAAAACCAAAAGAAGGTGATGTCCTTATAGGGCATGTAATTGAGAAGGAGACAATAGAGAAGAAACGAAAGGCTCTAGAACGTGCACTTCAGCGGAAGACAACTAAATGGGAGAGGACTCTAGAACAAACAAAATCTGGTTCGTTTGCTCCCACATTAGTTCATTATCAATTCTTATGAGAGCTACCATCAAAAAATTTTCATAAGAGCTTCTTGGAACATGTCATCATTTAACATATATTTTAATCTGAAACTTGATACAGAACCAGGAACTGGGACAGGAAGAGAGATTGTAGTGAGTATACATGTTGCTATCCTATCTTATAAACTTATTATATTGTCTTTTGATTTAATACATTATGATGTTTGCTAAGTTCTGAAGGTCTTATGAAGCTTAGATCTCTAATTAATATATAAAATAGGGGAGTGAGATAATTTATTTTGTTTGATATAAAATTTGATTGAGATTCATAGTATTCCCTCAATATGATATTCTAGTCAAACTTCACTGATTCAGCATGCTTGAGTGAGTTTTGTGAGGATATTTCTAATAAACCATGAAACAGAAAAGGCTTATCCATTATAATAAGATCCAAGGTATTATCTATACTTTTACCAGTTTCAAGGTTTCAACTGGGAAAGCTGGAGAAGGCAGTGGTACCTGGAGTTAGCTCCTAAATCTGCTGATTTATCTCAATCTGGAATTACAGCAGTATGGTTGCCGCCACCAACAGAATCTGTTGCTCCTCAAGGTATGCCATGAACACTTTCAATTTCTCTCATTTATGATTGTTTTTTTCTTTTTGTCTTGAGCTTTAATTTCTCAATTTTCTAAAAGCCCCATTCTGTTACTGCTTGTCAAGTAAATGTCATTTTAGACGGCCTGTCATGTGTGCATAATGTTGTCTGATCTGGCATGGATGCTAGGATCAGAGTTGCACCATTTATCTTTTAACAAAGTTTATTCTGTCTGAGTTCACATATAATATATGTGGGTATGTTTCTAAATGTACTGTGTTCCTGTCCTTTTTAGGCTTTCATTTTTAAAAAGAATTTGCTTACAATTTCAGTCTTTCTGGCAGTCAATTTTTGATCCTTATAAGTTCTATGCTAATATGCAGGTTATATGCCTTCTGACCTTTACAACTTGAACTCAGCATATGGATCTAATGAAGAACTGAAACATTGCATAGAGGAGCTGCACGCTCATGACCTTCTGGTAAGTTTCTATCCTAAAGCAGATGAATATTCTGCTGTATCGGATCACCTTCTCAAAAATGTGATAGCTTAGTATCTATTTGTGTGCTTTGCATGACTGAGGAGAACAAAGTTGTTGTTATTCATTGCTCAAAACAATTTTGCCCATTTTGATCATGCCAAAATAATGTTTATAAATATCACAATTTTTATTTACACTAATTTTTGGCATAATAAAGAAATTATTCTCTTTTCCTTTTATTTAAGTTTGGTTTTCATTTATGCTTGTCTGTTCCATGTTCTAGGATTAATGTGTTTGCCTACTTCTGCAGGCATTGGGAGATGTTGTACTTAATCACCGATGTGCACAAAAGCAAGTTAGTTTCATGTTTCTTCTTCTTTTCCTTTTTCCTCTTTATTGGTTATTTACTACCACGTGAAATTGTTTGATATCTATTCTAATATTAATGGAAGACATCTCCTTCTTTGTTGCTAGAATGCATTGGTCTAAAATATAGTAGAATCTTGGAATATCATTTTCTTTGTTTTGTTTTCCATTATATAATTACGAATACCTCCATATTATGACATCTAGCAGACTTCCCCATGACTGTAAAAGGTCTCAAATTATGAAACTGATGGTAAACAAGATGTATTATGACATGAACTTATGAGTCCGTTGCAGGGCATGTAGTGCAAAGTGCAAACTGATATTTTGCTAATTTCAGAGTCCAGATGGTGTCTGGAATATTTTTGGTGGCAAGCTTGCATGGGGGCCTGAAGCAATTGTTTGTGATGATCCTAATTTCCAGGGCCAAGGAAATCCTTCAAGTGGTATGTATATGAAAATATATACTGCAGAATGGTAACAACAGAATATGATCCTGGGAATTAACTGATTTATTTTTGTTGTTAGGTGATATATTTCATGCTGCCCCAAACATTGACCATTCTCAGGACTTTGTTCGTAGAGACATAAAGGAATGGTTAAACTGGCTTCGGACTGATATTTGTTTTGATGGTTGGCGCCTTGACTTTGTCAGGTAATATCCTTTCTATAAAATATCTATATAGCACTAGTTTAACCTCATACTAAAGTACTATCAGAGTTGTATTCCCAGAATTCAATTGCTCATAAAATACCAAATGTGCGTGCTCTCATTTGTTTCTTTCCCTTCTTTTGCCCACATATTGGTATCAGGAAATTGATGGCTCATTTATTTTGTTTGCAGAGGATTCTCTGGTTCTTATGTGAAAGAATATATTGAATCTTCTAATCCTGCATTTTCCATTGGGGAATACTGGGATAGTTTGGCCTACGAAAATGGTAACCTCTGTTACAACCAAGGTAATTTCGGACGGATGCTTGCTTGTCTTATCTCGTTCCAAATCTGGATGGATGGTGAACTATGATTTTGAGTCCAACAAAAAATTTATTCTTATGCTGAATTCTTTAATCTTCCTAGTCAATTACACTAATTTCGACTTTCGTAATGTGACTAGATGCTCATAGGCAACGGATAATCAATTGGATCAATGCCACAGATGGTACTTCGTCAGCTTTTGATGTTACAACAAAGGTAGTTGAGTTCTGGACTGAGCTAACTTAACCTTAGTGGGATGTAATTTTAGCATATGGAAGAAAAGAAATCAGCTCGAACATCACTGTAATTTGCTTGAAAGTATGATTTTGGTTCAGCAAAATATGAAATCCAGACTGCCATATGGTAGTAATTTCTGCTGTCTAGTTGCCATCTTTCTCCACCTGTAAATTGACATAAGTTATCATATGCCATCACAGGGGATACTTCACTCAGCTCTGCACAATGAGTATTGGAGGTTGATAGATCCTCAAGGAAAACCACCAGGAGTGATGGGATGGTGGCCATCGCGTGCTGTTACATTTTTAGAGAACCATGATACAGGATCAACACAGGTTGCTATCTTCTTCTTAACAATTCACCGTTTAACATGTTAAATATGTTTCTCATGTCACACATGTACTTCAGGGCCATTGGCCATTCCCGCGGGAGAAGCTTGCACAGGGATATGCATACATTCTAACCCATCCTGGAACGGTAAGCTTCATTCAATGAAACCACTTAAAATATATATTTTTTTCATATAATCCTATAAATTTCATTTCTTTAGGTTAATTTGTACAGTAAAAGTGCAGTTCAAGCACTGAAATAACTAAAATATTCTCATCATTTAATCAAATACTCAAAGATATACCAATATGATAACATGTTCTTTTTTTGGTTCTGCTTTTGCAGCCTGTAATTTTCTATGACCATTTCTATGATTTTGGTTTGCATGACATCATAACGGAGTTAATAGAGACTAGAAGGCGGGGTGGAGTTCATTGCCGGAGTTCTGTCACAATATACCATGCAAATAATGAAGGTTATGTTGCTCAGATAGGCGACACACTAGTAATAAAACTAGGCCAATTTGATTGGAACCCCTCAAAGGAAAACCAGATGGAAGGAAGCTGGCACAAGTTTGTTGACAAAGGATTAGATTATCAAGTGTGGATTCGACAATAATTTGATTAAAAAGAAAAAATATGAGACTTTTGGAATCCTAGAAGAATGCATGGAAATTATAATATGCTCAAGTTCAACTTGTTTCATTGCCTATTTCATAAAAAAAAAGAGTTTGGAGATGCGGGGGATCGAACCCCGTGCCTCTCGCATGCAAAGCGAGCGCTCTACCATTTGAGCTACATCCCCGTTTGGACAGTAGTTTCATATGTTAAAAACTTAAATAATAAGTTTCAAGTCTTTGGAGCCTTTTTCAAGAAGACTTGAAGACAATCATGTAGCTTATGTCAATCGCTTCATATATTATTTACTTAAATAATAAATTTCAAGTCTTTGGAGCTTTTTCGAAGAAGACTTGAAGGCAATCATGTAGCTCATGTTATGCTCCCTTGAATTTATGTCTCTTTCTGCCTTGACTTGAGTCAATATGTCAACTGTCAACTCAAGAAACAAAGGCCTCTTTTTTTTTTTTTTAAGTAATGGTTAGGAAATTAATTTTAATTAATTGTTAGTAGTCGGAGATCAGATCTCTAAATCGATTGAACAGTCCACCCTCTCAAATAAGGTGTACGGACATTAGGTCACTTTTTGATAGAGTTTATAATGATGATAAAGTTTAAAATTTTAACCACCTCATTCAAACATTTAAAACTTGAAATCGAACCATTAAATTTAAAAACTCGATACGACCTTTCTTAATTTTTCTGTGAAGTGACTGAGATTTTGCAGCCAGTGTCACTTCTTTGATACC